TTTTTTTTTTTTTTTTTTTTTTTTTTTTTTTTTTTGTCTTAACATAATTAGCAGTCTGGCTGAAGCTGAATGCGTGAATCGACTTCCTCATTTCTTTTTTTAAATGTGAGAGAGAACCCCAGGTCATTTTAAAAAAAAAAAAAAAGGGCTGAGCCCTGGTAACTGCCAGAGTGCTTCTCTCTCAATGGAGATTTCAAAAGTTGTTTTGTATTATGTTAGTTTTCATGTGACTTGGACAGAGCTTCTTATCACATCAGCAAGTCGCGTTCCTTTTAAATCATGAGTAAGTTGCTTTCCAATGTGCTCCCTGCCGCTTTGGCTATTTCAGGAATGTAGGAGATCCAAATAAATGGTACATAATTTCTCCCATTGTAATTCTTAAGGTATCAAAGTAGGTAAAGACATTAAAGTACCATGGCCTGTTTCTAGAATGAGATCTGCTCCCTCCATCCTCTTTCCCGTGTACTAACGCTTGGGTTACGGTTTTGGTCTGAACTTGGGTTCTAGTTTTGGTCTAAAATGCAAATTGCATTGGAAACAAAGTCTGATACTTAATGAAAGTAACATTAGGTCAAAAATTGATTTTGGACAGATGTTATACAGGACTTGAATAGGCTGCAAAAGTGGGCTTTTGTCTACTGTTTTCAATAGCTTATACCATCCCTGCTCAGTTAGAAAAGTCCTCTTTTTATACATCTAATAGGATCTGGCAGCTGCTCGGGAAAAGACAAGTGTGCTTCAAGAGAACAATAGCAACTGTCATACTGCCTTCATTTAACTGTTTAATGATTGATGCAGTGCTTTTTTCATCACTTCAGAAAGTGAATATTGATAGTTTTCCTTTCTAAGAGCATTAAGAAAATGGGTGCATTATCTTAAGCTTTTGAGCACTGCTGGCTTGCAGTTTTAAGTGACATATGAATGAATGTCTGACTTGTTGACAAAAGAAAAAATATTGAATTCCTCCTCTGTTCTTAATTCATCATAACATTATCTCTCGTATAATTTTCCCCCCCACTTTTACCATTCTTTTCATGCCTGTAGTCACACGGCTACCTAGGCAATATCACTGCAACCCATTTATGGATGTAAGAAGTGGCGTTGCCGTAACAGTGCTCCCACCATATGTTTGGTTGTGTATGGTTGAAACGCGTTAGTTTTTATAAATAGTTACGGCTGTGTTGGAAGGACTCGAGGAACATCTGTTATAAAATGAAGAGTCTCGGTTGTGGTATAAAGCTGGAGTGTTCCAGGTAGACAGGCTTTTTTGTGTTTATGGCTCTGCTTACATGGGAAATGCAACAGCTTTCTCTGTCCGAGGCAGCCAGTAATCTTTATACTTCTGACACTTGAACGTTGGGGCACATAATAAAAGATGATCCTAAAAGCTGCTCAAAGCAAAACTGTTTACATGTTAAGTTTAAAATAAATAAATAACTCCGCTTCTGACTGCAGTGGGCTTTGGCTCAGACCTGTAATCCATGTAATCACACACTTACTCTTATCTGTGACTTCACATAGCAACTTCAGCTGCATATGTGGGGAAAAATAGTAGTTTCTTTTCACAAGAGTCTTATCATTTGCTTTTAGTTTTGCATATGAAGGAGCATGAGATTAACTGCCTGCATGTTTCTTGTGATCTAGACAGTGTTCTAGTTTTTAGGCATTGGTTTCATCATTTAAGCCGGCCAGGCTACATTTAGTACATATGACAATGAACACTATAAATTATTTATCAGTTGCCAAGAGACAGGAACCTGGAGACTGAGGAGGCCAGAGGAGGGGATTATATATCTTGTTATTTGCAAGCATCAGTAAACAAGAATTTCATTGCAGTCTGCTCCAGCCATGATTTTAATCATGGGAAATGTGGGTTGGCAGAAAGCTAGAGCAATTTACCTTGGTGCCATGAATTGGACCATACATGAGTTTCTTCTCCCCTTTCCCCTCCTCCCCCACAAGAAGGCATTAGGTGCTCATTTTGAGCAACAGTTTGGCTCTTGGTTTGACACTTTTTTTCTCCTCAAAACGATCAGCAAGGTCATTGCCAGCTTGGAGCGCAACCCTGCGTTCCTTGCTGACCCCACATCTCTCGTGATGCCACTGTGGAATTCTGGAAGCTCTAGGAGTGCAAGAGCAGGTTGTCATCCACTTCTGCTTGTGGAGTCCCATGTTTCTTTGCCCTCACCTTTTTTTGCTTTAGGCACCCCTAACTTACCACAGGACTGATGACCCACACTGGGCTGCCTGTGTACCTGGTACCAGGGACAAAATGCCCTTTTCCCCACTACATCCCTGTTAAAGTGCTAATGTTCCAACTATAGGACGCATTGTACAAGGCAACTGCCTCTGTCTGCTGAGTCCTAGATGCCATAATGGAACGTGGTAAAGTAATTAATAAATAATTCATGACCTGTCCTATGGTGATGTTAAAAGATGAGGCTAATGTATTAAAAGCACTGGTGTTCAACTTTTTTTGGCTGATGGGCTGGATGAGCAGTGGCTGGTCATTCCGCAGGCCGGATCCGGCTGATGATCCCAATCTGGCACATGGGGCGCTTGTGGTGGAACCCAGTCTGGCTTTATGGAGACTGCAGGATACAGCCTGGCTCCAACCCAGCCCCATAGAGGGGGAAGGGGGCTTGATGTGGCCCTGATCCAGTCACAGGAGGGGAGGGAGCATGGGCCAGGCCTGATCTAGTTACTGGGGATGGGGAGGAAGATTGGGGGTGGGAAGTTGTATTTCCTGGCCCCAACCTGTTTTTAGGAATTTGGCAGTGGGGGATGGTGACAATATTAATTGCCACTGCTCCTCTGCTGTCTAAGCTCTTGATTCCTGGCTTGCTTTGTGGGCTGGATTCTATGGTTCTGCGAGCCAAACTTGGCCTTCAGGCCAGAGGTGGAGCACCCCACTGTTTAAAAGGATCGACTAGTAGGTGAAGCCCAAAATGGAAGCTGAGGCTTGGACTGGAGGCAGTTTTCTCCAATTTCTTAAAATGACTAGTAGTAACCTAAACCACAGTGAATATTTTTCTTAAATTGAAACCTCCCCATGAGCTGCAGGGACCTGTGAGCAGCTGGAGTTTTGGTTAGGGCTGGAGGAAGAGAAAGTGAAACTAAAATGAACCTCTGTTTTCTCCGTCCCAGCAGAGTGAAGTGTACGCACACAACAAACAGTGCAAATGGCCAGAAGTAAATTAGAATTGAGAGCTATTTAGTTTCAATGCAATGACTTTGGATTGGAATAGCAATGCAGAAGAACAATGTATTGCTATGTTGGGCCAGGCCTTGAGGAATAACTTGTACACTTACGGTCCCAAACTGCTGTGCCTGCTGGCTTAGTTTGTAGCTTCGATCCTGCAGCTACTTCTGTGTTTGGGAGCTGTCCGAATTGTGCTCTGCAGGCATAAAATTACCCCCATGTAATCAGGGTGTGTTATGAGACTCAACAGGTAGGTTGCTTGGACTGTTTCTGCAGTGCCCCTTTTCAAATGTCTTGGATGGTATAAAAGCAACTGAAGGTAACCCAGGTAGTGAAAAGGCGCCTTTGGTGCAGCCAGCTTTCCAACCTCTCTTATGGTTCCCTCAATATGGGGCCTGTGGTGCACCAGCCGTGCCCAGATATAAAATTGGTGCAGGTCACTGGGATTCCCCAGCTACATGCTGTCTTCCCAGCTATGCTTGCAGCATGTTGCCTGTGGCCAGAACAAACTGCTATACCAGTATGCTACATGAATACACTGTCCCTCTGTAAAGCTGCTTAAAGAGCTTTCTATACAGGGACTCTCCCTGTGACTGCAGCTGTATTTTAGGGCTGCCTCTTGCTGCTGGAACTTGACAAAGGTGGCCTAGGACTGCCTCTTGCTGCAGGATCTGCCCGCTGAGTTGGTCATGTACCCATCGGAAGTAGGGCTGGTGTCATCAGGCTCTTGGGTCCACTTTGCAGTTGTAAAGGTGTACACTGCTATCAGGCCAGAATAGTAGCACTGCACACTCGCACAAATGACCGCAGAGTGGAAATTAGCAGAGAGCCAGATACGGGGAGCTCAATCGTGATGGGCCTCCTCACCCCAGCTCTGCATCTGGCCTGGCACAGCTGGCACTTTGCCTTGACATGGCTCATTCTGGCTGTGTTTTGAAGTTCACAGTCTGCTGCCACAATTAGGAAGTGAAGAAAGTCCCTCTTGCAGCTGCTCTCCTTAAAACCGCTCTATTGGGTTAAAAATAAATGGAAAGAAAACTTTCATCTCTCTTGCTGTCCTTACGCTGCTTGTGTAGTGTGCCCGGTCAGCTGGCAGCCCCTGCCCTCTGACTTCCAGTTCTACCTCTTAGCACAAAACTGCCTGGCTGCAAGACCCCAGGCTGCCCTATCAATCACCCATGGCTCTCAGGGGGATGGCTCACCCAGCACCTGTTGTTTATTGGTGCCAATAACATGAAAGCTGTTTTTGGAGATTTCCAGAGAAACACTCACATCCATTTTCCAAATGGCTTCAGCTGCTAATTCCCAAGTATGGTTGCTGTTGCCTAGACCAAACTCCTGCCAGTCAGAAATGCCTCTTTTTTTTTTTTTCTAGAATGTCTGTAAAATGATACATGCCTGGACCAGGCTGCTTTGCAGGTTCCCTCCCTCCTTCCCCCGGCATGTGTTTTAAAGCAGTAGTGCTCAAACTGGACCCAAAAACATAGTGCTCTCCTTTAGGCCATTGACCAGCATCTTATATTCTACTCAGCTGCTTATACTAGTGCAAAGTGAGCATGTAACAGTGTGGTTTTGATCTGTGTAGTCCCTCATGCTTGTCTGTAGTCAGTTAAGCCTGTCTGACCCTAAAGTCTAATCTATTCTTATTTCATGAGCCAAAGG